ATAATTTTAGCTGTCAAGTATATTAGTTATATTATAATTGTTTAATGTATCGGTTGCTTCCATGTTTCTGTTGTATATTTAAATAAAAAAATACAATTATTTTAAGCATAATATTTTTCGAAAACTTAGTCGACATATATTAATTTGGTTTTTTCTTAATCCAAACAAATTTCACTTAAAGTACGAAGTCGTCTTCGGAAAACAAACCATATCTTCCTTTGTTTGGATTTGCAAAGTTTAATATAAATCCACTTAGAACAACTATGATGTTTCTATAAATTTTTAGATTAATGGATTAATTGTTATTTATGATAACTCCAGTTATTTAACTCCTGTATCACAATAAGAGCATGATCCTCACAGTCACCACGTCTCATGGTTAAAGAAACAAAAGCCATATCTCATGCACTTTTATGCAAAAGTCATAATAGCAAAACATTTATCAACAATTTCACCTAAATTATCCAATTTGTTCGCCTGGAAGCGTACATGATGCAGTATGACAACTTTTTTTGTGTTTAACTCATGTAACCCCAGTCTATGGAGAGTAAATCTATATTTACCGAATGTTACGTGACTATGATTCTAACAATGGTTGTTGCATAACCATTGTAACTCAACTTGTACCATTCAACTCTTCATTGACCCAAGTTAGTTGTGTATCCAGAGTGCAATCCTTGGTCACACCACGCACTTATCCGCCTTCAACATGCTTGTAAGGATTTGTTGATAGCTATTTTGTGTGTGACTTCGCACATGACATTTTGCATGACATTCTAAATTGAGTTGAGTTTTTTCCCAACTTATGACTGGTTGGTTGTGCTAATAGAGTTTGCATTGCAGTATCACACTTAACACTTGTAACTGTGATTATACTTTCTCGGGTTAATATTGCCTTAATACTTTGGCCTTTGGTTACATGCTTGCTTAAAACGTTACTTTCGCAAACAGTTTTCTGTTGGCACATTTCTATTTAGTCTATTCTGCTCGTACGTGTTTTTCGGTCATTTTATGTCCACAACTTCAATTGCGTTATAGTCCTTTGACCATTTGGCACTTTTCTTCTGGATCATCAATTTCATGTTTGCGTGAAAATTTGCCGAAAATTAGACAAATTAGCATTCAAGCGGAAATATGAATTGGAGGCATGTAATGAAACTTTATGGGAGAATAAGGTTTAAAGATAATTTAAAATGCAGAGGGGAAAGATGAAAAGTGGCGTGCATATATTTTATGCTTCACAAAACATTTTTACAATATTAATATAAAAAAAATTGTTTAAAGGCAAGTTTTAGTTTAAAAGTCAATATTATTATGTGATTAACCTTAATAGTTAATGGTTGTGTAACTCGCTTCTCCCAGGCAAATTTGAGGGAATCACAATAGATGTCTCCTATTGAAAGTGCTGACAGTTATATTAGAACACGTCCTCTTTATCGAATCTAAACTTAATGGTTCATAGTTCATCGGAATGGTGTATTCGATTCTCTAACATACATATGTAGTATACAGCCTAAAAGCCCTCTTTCGATTGAGTCTTTTATCCCCCGGACGCTTCCATTCTCGATGGATAGTAAAATTTATATGCTTCTTAGGTCTGATTATTATATTCGTGTTAGAGCTTTGCTAGTTATTATTATCGTGTTGGACTGACTCAATATTGACTTTAATCGGTCGCTACAGTCCTGTTCCTTATTTTACCAAAATTATTGCGGATTTTAGGTTCATCTCTTGACCTTCTATGGCACCACTTTTACGATTTAGTTATAAGATAAAAAAGTTGTCTGTCGATCATAGCTTACAACCATACCACACTTTAAAGAATAATACCATCCAATAAATTTGTATTTTGAGAAAATGAAGACTTAGGACCCATTCGAGTTATAATCTCAGCATGTTTAGCAGGCTCCTTGGGGGTGTACGCAGATTGAGGTCATTAGTGCTTGTCTGCATGAAAGTGCATAAAAATATCCAGTCAAGGCGTAAAGAGGGGTTTTGAAGATACGTCACAGTTAATAGAAAGTAAAAGTGCTCAAGTGCACTGGCTCAAAGAGCTTCAACATAATGAATTGCTTATAGTTGCTTATATTTATACAATAATTATAAAAACATGTTGAAACGTATTACGAGTATATCTTAA